TTATTTTTGTCTTTGATCTGCAGGCACCAACAAGAAGAACAGCTTAATTGCATAGAAGAGACCACACAGCCATACCTGCTCGCTAATGGGACAATGAGGAACATCATTCATGGATGCTACACAACTGTCAAATCTCGTCATATTTGTTCATGTCTAGATAAATTTGATGATTTTGTGTTTTATTAACTATTTTATGTTTCGGTGCAACACTTAATGAATGTGACTGACTAATTAACCTCTACACATCTGATATATGCTTTAAAGTTGCCACTTTGCCCATTTGTTAAATAAACGCTGAAATTTATACATCTGTCTGAAGACTCTTGATTTTATGTCTAATCTTGTACATTAACACCATACAATAGCATTTTTTTTTGTTTGCACTGAAAATAATACTTTATTAATAACACTTAAAGTATTAAAACAACAACAGGGGTGTTAAATACCCCATAGTGTAAAATTTAAACAACAATAGCAAGTGTAACACTTTACTCTCGGAGTGTAACTTTTTCTACACTGTAAAGTGCTATATTAACACTAAAAATGCAACACTAGGAACGATGTACTTTTAACACTAGACAGATTGGGACCATATATGATCTTTAGTAGTGTTAAAATCGACACTGCGTTTTTTTACTGTGTAGGTTTTAGTGAAATGCCTCTAAATTGGTTCAATAATTATTTATCAGAAAGAACTCAGTGTGTCTCAGTTGAAAATTTTATTTCAAATGAACAGAAAACGACAAAAGGTGTTCCACATGGTTCTATTTTAGCACCAGTTTTATTTTCTATTTATATTAATGACCTTGGTCGTCAGATAACCTCAGCTAGAATTCATTTATATGCTGATGACACAATTATTTACACAGTAGCACATTCGGTGAATCAAGCCATAGAGCTCTTGCAAGAATCTTTTCAGTTACTGCAACTGTCATTGTCCAACTTAAAATTGGTTTTAAACTCAAAGAAAACAAAATACATGCTTTTCACTCGTTGTCGCACTGAAACAGACTACCCTACTTCAACTTTACAAGGATAAGCTATTGAAAGAGTAAGTTGTTATAAATACTTGGGGAGAGAACGCAGCCCTGAGGAGCTCCAGTGCTGATGGTGCAGGTGTTGGATGTGAGTTTTCCCAGCCTCACTAGCTGCTGTCTGTCTGTCAGGAAGCTGTTGATCCACTGACAGACGGAGGTGGGCACGGAGAGCTGAGTTAGTTTGGGCAGGAGGAGGTTTGGGATGATAGTGTTAAAGGCAGAGCTGAAGTCCACGAACAGGATCCTCACATAAGTCCCTGGTCTGTCTAGATGTTGCAGAACATAATGCAGTCCCATGTTGACTGCATCGTCCACAGACCTCTTTGCTCTGTAGGCAAACTGAAGAGGATCCAGCAAGGGTCCAGTGATGTCCTTCAGGTGGGCAAGCACCAGTTTTTCAAAAGACTTCATGACCACAGACGTTAGAGCCACAGGCCTGTAGTCATTAAGTCCTGTGATTTTGGATTTATTTTTGGGATGGGGATGATGGTGGAGCGTTTGAAGCATGAAGGGATTTCGCACAGCTCCAGTGATCTGTTGAAGATCTGTGTGAAGATGGGGGCCAGCTGGTCAGCACAGGATTTCCGACAGGCTGGTGTAACACAAGCTGGGCCTGGTGCTTTTTTCCTTTTCTGCTTCCGGAAGACCTGGCGCACCTCTTCTTCGCTGATCTGAATTGCAGGTGTGGGGGAGAGGTGGGTTGCTGGAGGTGTGAATGGTTATGTGGAGAGGTGTTCAGGGGTGTTTTTTCAATCCTGCAGTAGAACTCATTCAGATCGTCTGACAGTTGTTGATTCTCCACAGTGCTGAAGGATGGTGTCTTGTAGTTGGTGATTTCTTTCTGACTTTTCCACACTGATGCTGAGTTACTGGAAGAGAATTGAATCCTTGTTTTTTCAGAATAATTCCTCTTTGCCACTCTGATCTCCTGTTCCAGTGTGTATTTAGCTTGTTTATACAAGACATTTTCCCCCTTCCTGTAAGCATCTTCTTTGGCCTGACGGAGCTGTCTGAGTCTTGCAGTGAACCATGGTTTGTCATTGTTGTAGGCTAAATGAGTCCTGGTAGGAATGCACATATCTTCACAGAAACTGATATAAGATGTTACAGTCTCTGTGAGATCGTCCAGATCGGTGGCAGCAGCTTCAAA